AAGATATTTTGTCGAGTGTGTGAGAAAATTATATTATATATTAGTTAGTTATCCAAGTAAATATACTGGATACATGCTCTTTTTTGTTATTTTGAAATGTTACAGTATGGAAACATAGGTCGAGACTAATGATGGCTTCAGGCTACAGTTACTGTGTTTGCTGGCTCACAGTTACATCGTCATGGCTTGTCGTCATGGGAGACTTGCTGCATATGAAACACAGAACATAACATATTAACATATGAAGTGCATGTTAAGTTGGAAAATGATGACTCACAATTTCAATGCCTGTTTCATACACTGGCTTTGAGTTTCAACATGTTATGTTATTAACTTGCTTCTTCTATTTACTCTCTGAAAAAGGTCTTTCAACAAAATGTTTGTTAAAACTATTTTGTACATGTGGTCATTTAATGCATTTTAAAGCTCTGGGAGAGTCATAAACCCTGCTAACAGCTATATTGCTCCAGTCATTTAATTTAATGGTGATGGTTCAACTTTTCCAACTTGCCATCACAGCTTGTTGTGTGACCACAGTCACTGAAACCTCAGCGAGGTCAATGAGGAGCTAATTTTATGGTATTTGAGTTCCCAGAATCCTCTGAAGTGAAATAGTAGAAGACCAGCCTCTAAATATAAATATCTGGCCTGGGCCAATGTATAATATGGTATCAGTTAGCAAAAACGGCTGGTTAATGTGTCGTTGAGGCAGTGGGCATGTTGAAAGTACTGTCCGCCTATAGCTACTCTAAAGACTAATGCCCTGTACCAATTCCTCTCCCTTGGCCCAACCCTGTCACATGAAGTGCCCTTCACTGGGATTGTCCCCTCTGAACAGAGCCACAAGGGAGAGGGCTAGAAAATCTTCCCCTAGGAATTGGGACACCACTCTCTACGTCATCAGCAGCCAACAAACAATATCAACTAACGTTAACATATTAACAACAGTGATCTACCAACAGTATAACAGTGACACATATGACAACTGCAGAACAGACAGGATAGATTGATCTATTGATTGAAACACATTCAGTCAGTGTGTTTACATCAGTTATTTCAGTGTAAAGTTAGTCCTGTCCAATGAAACTTCAGCTCTGAACTGAAAACGTTATAAGATGAGTGATTACGTTTTTTTCAAACTTCCTATACGGGACATGGGATTGATGAACCTTACTCGTTACTCTCACTCAGACTGTTTACATGCTTGTTTTGATGGAGTGAAAAGCAATTTCCCTGAAACATTTATCACAGCGACAATGACATTTTAATTTGCTACTGGCTTAGAATAAGATATTCAACAGGATTTAAATATTATTTCATGGTTATTGAGCATTTTACCCGCAGCGATTCCCTTCGTCCTTTTGCAAAGCATTCAGGAATTTCTATCTACCCCTTCATTTTAAAGGGGGTCCTGAATACACTATGGCTGAATGGGTGTTTGAAGGGCTAGATGACCCCTAGAGAAATGAGTTAACACTACCCCTTCATGGCCAAGCACAAAATGAAGCGGTGGGGCCAAGTGGTGGGGCTAAGGAGTTTTGAACTTCTGTCCATTCTGGGGGAGGGATCCCTCACATGTGCATGTTACACCTTGTAAAGCCCTATGAGACAAATAGTAATTTGTAAATATGGGCAATATAAATACAATTTTATTATTTGACTGATTGCTTCCTGTTCACAGTGGGTGACATCTCTCCCGCTACTTATAAATATCCATAGGATGTGCAGCCCGATGCTGATGTAATCTAATGTGGGTGATCTTTGTCATATCAGATCACCAAACAAATGTGACTACTGCCACACAAGCACACATAGTAATAATGCACACACTAATGCACACACCCACATAAAAAGTCACGTCTCGCAATGTGTACAATGTGGAAATTTGTATATGGGCCCAGTTGAACACATTGTTGCACTTAATTGCACTCATCATATTAAGTCATGCTTCCATTCAGCTTTTTTTTTTCTCCCATTTCTTTCAAAACAAATCCCTGGCTTCTTTCTTCACTTTGTAATTTGCATCACCTCCCGGCTTCAACACTCACTTCTGTCTATGAAGTGAGATCCAGAGAAGCTCCAGATGTGCCTGAGGTTACTACAGAGGAGCAGGTGGTCAAGTGTGTGTTTTGTATCCCTCACCCATCTGCAGATATCTTCAACTTAAAAGATAAACTTGAAAAAAGGTTTCTGTTGAGGTTGGGGTTTAAGTCCTTTAAACATGAAAGCACAAATACTGCTCACTCTGTTTAGCGCAAAGGGTATGAAATGAAAATCCTGGCACGAGGCTGCAAAGCATTTGATACAGACACAGGTCCCTTTCTTCATTCCTCAGATCTGCCCACTCTCTTGGGGGAGGTGAAGAGAAATGAGATTTGGTGGATCTATCTGCAGAGTTTCCTCTGTGTGTGGGCCTGATTTAACTCTGCTGCTCTCACAACAGCTTCTTCTGCATCTGTTGGTGAGAAACACATCATTTGGCACCATTTCTTAAACAGCAAAATTCCAAATGCTGGTGTGGAACAGAGGGCCGATCTATCGTACTTTGGAGAAAACCCTAATTTTCTTTGTGGATATTTATCTTTACTGAGGAGGCCAAAGAGGATATGTTTAACATGTGCGACGGCCATATCAGTAGTTAATCATCATTTTTTTTATTTGCTTTGCAGTCAGTAAAACTAATTTGTTATAGATTTATCCAAAATGAATCAACCTGGACACTGACTGGACTGAAGACACAGTATTCTATCTCATGCAAAAACAGAGCAAATAAAACTAATTAACTAGTCCAGTCCAGTGAGCAGCAGTTCCCGACTCTCGGTCCCTGAACACCCCCTCCACTGGTCTGACAGCCAACTGTGTTTTGGCACTATTGATCCACATGTGCCTGCCTGTCTACCTGTGTGTTCACCTGTCTGACTGCCCGCTGGCAAGCAGTCAGTGATAATTACCTTCAGACACAGTGCACAAATAACTGTCACACTCAAAACTAACAAAGTTTTGTTCATTTATAGGAGGACAGAGGCATCACTGAAAACTGGTGTGGGAGAATATCTTGTAATGTTTCTATAGAACATTGGCATATAAACTGTCTGGCTTAACGATTCAGGAGCTAATGATCTTCAGCCTTACACAGCTCTGACGTCCTCCACACTGCACAGCAGGATGAATCCTGACTCACTCCGCTAGACTGATGCTGCTTGGTTGCCTTCACCAGGCCCACGGTCTGACATTTACTGCCTGTCGCTGTGCACCTGCTTTCACCAGAGGAGACTGCAGAGCCTTCTCTGTGGTGGGCTAGAGGGGACACTCCCCTCTACCCACTCCTTCTCTGCCATTACCAGGCTAAATTGGATGCTGAGGCCTCAGTGAGAAAACATCCACACATGCAGACCAATTGTTTTCCATCAGTTTTTCAGATGTTAAAAAACGTCCCACACATGCCCTCATCACTTTGCATTTACCACTGCCTTCCTCCAGACAGTCATGAAGATTTAACGTTGAACTAATTACCAGGTTTATCTCTCTCTCTTTCAATACATAAATCTTAGTGTAGGGCGGTACGGTGGTGCAAGCCTCACAGCAAGAGGGATCTGAATCCCAGCTATGATGCGGTCTTTCTCTGTAGAGTTTGCATGTTCTCCCTGTGTCTGTTTTTTGTGGGGGGTGAATACTCTGCCTTCCTCCCACAGTCCAAAGCCATGCTGGCAGGGATAAGATTGGCCAGAGACTCTAGATTGTCTCTAGCTGTGAAGGATGTTTGTCTTTGTGTGTTGGCCCTGTGATACACTTGCAACCAGGGTGTACCCCACCTGTTGCCAAGCTGGGATTGTCTCCAAAGCTCTGATAGAGTCAGTCTGAAGATATGTAATAGTTCTTGTTTTAAACCTTTCTTTCTTTTTTCCACATGTTTTGTATGTGTAATACTGGAAGTAGATGTAAATCATGCCATGTTAAATTTAAGGAAAGCGTAAATAAGGGATGTCTTTCCATCCCAAGAGGGGATGGTCTGAATGCATTGGTATGACACAGAAATTAGAAATACATGAATAATTTTCAGAGCTGTGTATAGTACCTCAATATTTTCTTCCACCTAGAGGATGACTCACCTCAGTGTGTCTCACCACATCTTGGTCACGTATATCGATTGTGTTCTGCCTCCGCTCAGCAGCCAGATCAATAGGAAAGCTGTACCTCAGGAGTGCAGTGGCCGTCAGTAACCAGTCCTGTCATACTGGGTTAAAAAAATAGTCAACGTTCTGTGACCCCACTTAGAAGTGGAAAACTCTGTAATATGAAAAACTGTACACGTACATATAAGCAGTTTTTTTCAATTTTTTTCCTTTTATTTTTCCAAAGCATTTTTATAAATACTTAATATGTCCCTGAATGCCAACCAGAGATTTATCCTTTTTGGCCACTTTTTAAAATCTACTTAAACTCCCGAAACCTTCGGACTGAAGGACAAAAAAAGGTTTAATCTTTACTGCTACTCTTTCACCTCACAGGATCCTGTGTTTCTGCTCAAATGTCATGACACTGATATATTTTTATAATGATTCATAATATGTCGTTATCAAACACTTAAATGACGAATA